CACTATAAAAATCCAGGAATTTTTTTTTTGTTAAAACATATAAAATCTTAAAATAATTTAAAAATAAAATTCAAGTTCAGAAAACCATTCATATATTACCAACATAATTAAAATCATACAAGTTTCAAACTCAGTATAAAAAATAAAATGTGACTTACATGTCCTCTAGTTACACCTATACATTATTCTGCAAGAAAAGACGAAGGAACTCCCATTACTGAAGTCGATAGAAGCATTGGATCGATTCTTTTAACCTGAAATGGTGAGTAAAAGAATGTGATTTGGGAAGCTCATTAATACAAAACTACCAAATGATACTAAAGGACATGTAGATAAACGACAATCATAAAATTTCTATATTAGTTCAGACTTCTACAGGTTTTCCCTTATAAAGTTGTTCATTCATTTCATTAAACAACTTGTAAAACTTTGCCGCTTCTCCATTTGGCTCTTCAGCACATACACTTATTCCCATCTTAGTGAAATCATTAACATCATTGTCACAATCATTTTCTCTAACAGATTGATGATGACTGTGCATATTAAATGCATATCGCAACATACCTTCCATGTCATGTTCTCTAACAGATCGACGGTGAGAATTAGGAGGATAAGTCGAATTACTCATGGAAGAATATCTATATGGTGTAAACACTCCATGAAATATCCATTTTCTATAGCCCCGAACAAAGCCAAAATCAACTAGACTCTCGTAGACAACTTCATGAATTTTCCAATTAATGATAACACACTTCTTACAAGGGCAAAGAATCATATTCTCCTGGCTTGCATTCACAAAAGCTAAATTTAGAAAAATTTCGACTCCATTTCGATATTCGTCGCTTACCCTTGAGAAATTCATCCAACTCTTATCCATTTCGTATTTATGGTATATCAATTTCAAATGTTAATTGCTAATATTATAGAGAAAGTAAGCAACTAAACATAAGGATTACATTTAATTTCACAATTTAAATTATAAATTATAATACAAACAAATTCAAGGTTTATTTTATGAATTACATAAGCATCTAAACATAACCATTACATTCAATGACATAAGCTTATGGTATATATATTATTTGTTTCAAGATTATACTGTTGAATTCATAGTTTATTTTATTAACTGAAAATTTTAAATATGAAAATCAATGGTATATACATTTAATTACATATGCTTATGGTATATATATTAATTGTTAAGACTTGGATCTTAACTACACTACACCTTGGCCTATAGTTTTACCATGCTACAATTCAACCTCTTCTAGAAGTACATATTCCCCGCAACTTCCCATGCAACCAAACAATCATTCATCGATTACAAGGAAAAGATTTAACTATTTTTCAATCGAATCTTATAGCAAGTTTAATTTAACTTAAAAGAAAAAAATAACGCAAAACAACATATATTAAATGTTCTTTATAACGAGGTTGCCTCTTTCAAAACTTTTAGACATAAGTATAATAAAAATAAACATTTTAAATTTCCATATCACTTTTTAATAATAATGACACATATTTTAATCAATAAATTATACTTTTTGGCAATATTTTAGAATATACGTTTCCAAACAATTTTAACCCAAACAACAATAGAGAAGTAATTCTCTAAATACAAAGAATGAAGAAGTAAACCTAAATTAATAGAAGATCCAGAACAAAAGTGGATGTGGACATTTTGGACACACTTCTATGAACCAAAATATTTTTCCTTTCGAACCAACACCACTACTACTACAAAGACACTGAAATCCATTCCAATATCTAAAACTGTGTCCGTTTGTAATCAAACAGGCACTAGTTTGTCCAATCCAATGAGCATTTCTCGTAAATTTTTTATTAACTATAGGAATAATCTCTTACAGATTTATTCGAATGCTGAAGGGTAAATTAAAACACAATTAATAATAGTTTAAAGAAAGCAATATAATCACAGCAAAAGAAGCAACTCCAAAACTGATGGAAAATTCAATAAAATCATAATGCAACTTCTATTGGTGTATCTAAATTAATTAACAGCAACTTCCCCCGCAACCAGACAAAACAAGTGATACAAGTGAAAATCCTTACCTGACGCAAATATTTCAGTAAATTTTAAAAATTGTTACCTTTTTTTCTTTACCGCAACTTCCCCACAACCAAACGAGACAAGTGAAACAAAATAATAAAGTGACCTTTAGCAGCAGAGGGTTCTCCGTAGAAGTTGGATAATACTTCGACTTCTCTGTAATCTAGAGACAATTCCTCTAATCAATCAAAGCTGGATAATACAAACAAGGAAAGGAATGGAAAGGGGAGGGGAGAAAGCAATTTTGAGAAGAAACTGAATCACCTAAATTTGGGGTCTTCAAAAAATGCTTCCGATAATGAAGCTGTCCGAAAATGAAGAGAAAGTGAGATCAACGAAGAGAAATAGGTTAAGAACCAACAGATTCAGCAAAGAGAAAGTGAGATCGGCGAAGAAGCAGCAGATGGGTTTTGGGTAAACGGCAGGCGCATGAAATGCAAAACTTAGAAGCAACAAAAGGTCAAGGGAAAAAATGAAAAAGGTTAAGGGGTACGGGAGTTTGAGACGCAAAACTTACGGCACTAATGTACTGATAAATTGCGGCTTTTACTAAAAAATGCCACTAAAGTATGAATCTGTTGCAGTATTTTTAGCTGCGTTTCTTCAAAAATGTGGCATTTTAGCTTAAAACACAGCGATATGCATACAATTATTGGTGTTTCTATCAAAACGTCTCTACATGCTTGTTTCATTTTAGTGGTTTTTAGCGGTGCTATATATCAGTATATTACAAAACGCCACTATATATCAGTATATTACGACATTTTTATTAAAAACGCTACTATAGGTACATGACTATTGTAACGCTTCCCAGAAATACGGTGAAAGTTTGTTATTTTATGTCATTTGTTCTAAAAACGCCACGAGAGGTATACAATTACCAGCTTTTTTACTAAAACGCTACAAAAAATGCCCATATATATCAAGCAAACACCACTAAAATACGTTTTTAACGGCGTTTTACAAAAAACACCACTATATATCTGTCTATTGCGACGTTTTTTTTTTTGGAAAAACGCCACTATAGGTTAATGACTATTGCGGTGCTTTCCCACAAACGCCGTGAAAACTGTTATTTTGTGGCGTTTGTTTTAAAAAATTTCACGAGAGGTATAAAGTTGCCGGCGTTTGTTCAGAAAATGCCTCTATAAACTCATTTTGCTTTAATGTATGTTGTTTAGTGTATGATTATTTTTAATAGTTTGAAAGTGATTATAAAGTAGTATATGTTTAATTTTTTTTAGTCAATGACAATGTACATATAATTATAAATATAATTGTTTGGACTTCAAATCTTTATGAATAATAATTCTTTTTTATTAATAAACTACATGATGAGTTTAATGTTTGATTTTTTAAATTTACACGAAATCAAGGAAAGATTTTATTGTTTGGTTGCTACAAACCAGACAGTAGGATGATAGACATAAATCAAAGTAAAAAAGCAAAAGGAAAAAAGAATTTATTTTGACGTCGGCTAGATATTATCTCATGAATTAGAAAATTAAAATAGTGAAAAAAAGGAAAAAAAAAGTAAAAAGAAATTGTTCTCTAGATAGTTTACAAAGAATCGAAAACCATTTGTCCTTCACAAGAGTTCAGTTTTAATGAACTAAAATGCCATAATTTTTGCGACGGAGATTTACGAGTAAGGTTTTTGATGCATGTATAAAATAAAGTGAAAATAATATGTTTAGATGATTTAATAAAATTATATTTTTTAAAAATTGTAACATCAGTTTATTTACTATGCAATTTTCGCTGAGATTCATATTAACAAAATTATTTTCAATTATTTAAAATATTTTTTAAAAAGTACCTAGGAAAATTTAAAAAAAAATCTATAATCCGTCATAAACCCTATGTTAATTTTTCTTATTTTATGTTTGAGGTATGTTAAAAATAATTGATCTCATAAATTGATTTAAATTTATATCAAATTTGTTAAAAATAAAATTTAACAAATAATGTTCAATTTATCACACAGATTTAGGATCGTCATATGAATGAAAATATAAGGTTGATATTAATAATAAAAAATGAGAATATATTCACTAAAAAAACAAGGAGTAAATTTTATCCTTTTATTTCTACTCATCCAACAATATCAAATGTAAAACAAAAAATATTTTAATTTGTGTAAATTGATCGTAAGCCTTAATTTTTTTTGATTATATATATAATAGGTTAAATAAGAATTAATTTTGTGAAATTGGAGATAAAATCAATAAAATTTTCCATTGAATTGTAAATTTAAGATCTTAGTTTAAGAATTAAAGAATATAGCTTTTTAAGAAATTTTTATGTGCTTTTAAGATTTCTAATTTCTTCAATAAAAAAGAATTGATTACGATTTTACATCGTTCATGAAGGTGAGAATATATCTATATCTCGCGTACCCTTGCTTTTCGCTTTCTTCTTTTGGTTCGTATTACTGATCGCTTGAGCTAGGCTCAAGTGACATAGATGATTAGCTGTTTAATAAATTCATGGAAATTAAGATTTAAAATAATATTTTTAACATAATATATATATAAAAAATATATATTTAAATCATGATATATCTTAATCACAGTGGCAATATTGGTATGAGTCGAAATTGTAAAAGTTTACCTTAAGAATGGGTTGTCTGCATTCGATAACTTTTCCTGTATCCTTTTTTCTACTTAAGACTGCAATATGAAAAATAATTCAACAATAAAAATAGAAAGAAAATAATTCAGGCCTAGGAAATTAAGCTGTCGTTTTCATTACATGGAATTCACGCAGTTAATGGCTGACAAAAAAAAAATGAATTGTCACTTTCGGTTTATTTTTCCCTTCTTTATTTCTTCCTTTTCTAAGAACAAAATAAGCTCACGACATCACATGGTTGCTCATATATAACCCCAACACAAAGCCAGATTGATCCATATTTTCTTCCAAGGACTAGCTTTTGGAAGAGGCTTTGATCCTTTTTTTAAAATGTCGAACCAAGAAAACTCTGTGACTGTGGTGATTGTGCCATTACCTGCACAAGGTCATTTAAACCAGCTGCTTCACCTCTCTCGGATCATTCTCTCCTATGGCATTCCGGTCCATTATGTCGGTTCATCCATGCACAACCGTCAGGCGAATGTCAGAGTCCATGGTTGGGACCCCGTTGCCGTCGCCGGTTTCCATTTCCATGACTTTCAGGTCCCTCCGTTTTCTTCCCCTCCTCCGAACCCCGACGCCGGGATCAAGTTCCCTTCTCATCTCCAGCCATGTTTTGATGCCTGCTGGCACCTTCGTGAGCCCGTCAGTGAACTGTTGATCACGCTTTCTTCCAGGGCGAGGAGGGTCATCATCATCCACGACTCGATGATGGGATCCGTTGTTCAAGATGCTCCGTCGATCCCTAACTCAGAGTTGTACGCTTTCCATACCGTTTCCGCCTTAACTCTCTTTTTCTACATGTGGGAATCAATGGGGAAGCCACAGGTTAATGCAGAAATGCCTGACGTTCCTTCTCTCGACGGATGTTTCACTCAAGATTTCTCCGAGTTCATTTCCATGCAACACAAATATCTGAACGCCAACTGCGGGAGTATATATAACACAAGCAAAGTGATCGAAGGTACTTACCTCGAGTTGCTTGAAAATATCAGGGGAAAACAACATTGGGCTTTAGGACCATTGAATCCGTTGAGAGTACCGGAGAAAGACAGTTCCGGTGACCGACACCACTGTCTGGAATGGCTCGACAAACAGGCTATAAACTCTGTTCTTTACGTGTCTTTCGGGACGACGACCAGCATGGGAGATGAACAAATCCAAGAGCTGGCGATCGGTTTGAGAAGAAGCAATCAAACGTTCATTTGGGTATTGAGAGATGCGGACAAAGGCGATGTTTTCAAGGGAGAAGTTAGAAGCCCGGAGCTTCCAAACGGGTACGTTGATTCAGTGAAAGAGAAAGGATTGGTGGTTCGAGACTGGGCACCGCAGCTTGAGATTTTAGCCCACCCTGCCGTAGGTGGTTTTGTGAGCCACTGTGGATGGAATTCATGCATGGAAAGCATCACCATGGGAGTACCCATCGGAGCATGGCCTATGCACTCGGATCAACCGAGAAACGCGGTTCTAATTACAAAGCTGCTCAAAGTTGGTATTACCGTTAAGGACTGGACACACCGGGATGAGATAGTCATGGCGGCCGTAGTTGAAGACGCCGTGAGACGTTTGATGTCTTCAAAGGAAGGAGATGACGTAAGGAAGAGGGCGGCAGAAATACGCGATGGGGTGCGGCAGTCGGTGAGTGAAGGTGAAGTTTCCAAGGAGTGGGACTCCTTCATTACTCATATTATTAGGTAGGTTTATCATTATTATAACCAATGACGAAAGTACTGCCGCCGAATGAATGTTTCCTTCGACCATATCATGTTCTATGAACAAATTTTATTTCCTGCAAAGTCTATGATAATATTGAATGACGATTTCAATTGTGATTTTTTTTAAATAATTTGAGTTTTAATAATTGTATTTACAGTGTTTTGTAAACATTATCAAAAATTAAAAGAATTTTATATAATTTTATTTTTTAATTACTTCAAATTATTTAGAAATGATGAAATTAAACAAAAGTAAATCCAGGTTAGAGAGAACAATCATTGAAAAAATATAAATTAATTTAATTAAGTAAAAATTATTTTAGACGTCACTAATTTTTTTCCCTTGATTCTTGTATACTACTTTAGTTTTACATTCAATTATATTACTCCATCGTTAAGTCAATAACGAGATAATGACATGATCAACAGTTGTTAACATGACCTGTCACACTAAACGACATTGTTTAGGTGCAACTTTTTTAATAATTAAAACGACATTGTTTTGGACACTAAACTTTAGGGGTGTATTGATTTTGCCACTGAAATTCTAAACACCGCCTGTTATCGATCATATTTCATAGCAAGATCAATAGCAAAATGTTCGTGTTTCACTTCTCTTTCTTCATTTAGGATTAATTTTTTCACGAAACTCATTCAAAATTGATGAAAATTCATTTAAAAATTCAACGTACTAAATACTCTGGTCTCTTTTAATGATCATTCAATGAGACTAATTTTGATGTATATTGTTCGTCTTCTCAAAATCATACTCCTATTTCACTGTTCAGATTTTCGAATAAACACGTCAAGTCCATAAATCTAAGAAAATCTCCCAACACAAAAATAATATATATTTTTATTTAATTTCGTCGAGTTTGAGTGAGTTTCATGAAAAACTAATCATATGAGAATAATGAGGGGAGAAATACGAACATTTTAGTGCCAATTTTGCTATGAAAGATGATCATTGACTGACGATGATTGACTGTCGACAGCGATCATAAAGTGTAGTGCCAAAAAAGTAAAATATTTAAAATTTTAATGACAAAATCGATAGAAACCTAAAGTTTAGTATCTAAAATAACGTCGTTTTAGGTATAAAAACTGTCACACCAAAACGACTTCATTTTGGTGTGTCATACCTCGTCAACAACAGTCAGTCATATCACGTCTAGTTAATATTCAATAGTATCTTAAGTAGTTTTCCCTTTAATTAATATGGTATGCAGGGAAAATTTTCCTCTTTGGGAAAAATTTTGCTTATATTTCTAAATACATGCATGTAGCTAAAACCAATATTGTCTATGGGGAAAATGTATTTTTGGGACCAGACAAAAGATTTATTAATTATACATGTCGAATTTAAATTGCAACTCCCGGTTTCCTTATTTATAGGATATGAAAATATTTGTATTTAATGGAGAGATATTTGGCAAACTACCCTTTTTAATAATTAAATTATCATCTCTAATAACCTGCTACTAATAGATGGCAAACTTAATAATGCTTATCCTCAATTGTTTTTATTACTTACCTACCAATTGGAAACTTTACAGTATACTATGTATTTTTTGGTAAAAATGGTAAGAAAATATAAAACTAAAACCAAAATAATAATAAAAATATAATTAAACTAATTGAATTGCTGGAAAAATCTTCATCTCTCTCTCTATTTATATTACCCAATTGCTAATAGATTTCGATTCTAAAAGAATAGAATTAGTTAATATTTAGATTTAGGTTGAAATAGTCCGAATTCATAATTTTTTTTATTAAACTAAGGTGATTACAAAGTAGTTTCTATTCTAAATACTCTAAATCATTTGATAATAAATAATCAATCATGTTGTTGTAGTTGTTGGTATTCGAATTCATAATATCTAAGAATAATAACGATTCTTTTAATCGTTGAAGTAACTTAATTTATGTCCAAATTCACAATTACTAAGAAGAAAAAGGACAAAGAAAAATATCTGTATCTTTATGATAAATTATATGTAAACATCAGATTAATTATTTATTATTAATTTAAAAGAATTCACATTTTAGAAAGTAGTACTATTCAAGTTTGACAGGTGGCACAATGGATACGAAAAGTACTTCTTATTAAATGTGTTTTTATTTAAATATATATTCTCATATAATTATATAAATATAAAATTCAATTAAAATTATTCGCTTTTGTAATTTATATTTTAGATTTATCGCTCTCTTTTTTATTTATAAAATTTTTAAAACTTAAATATATATATATTATATAATACAGATAATAAAATATTATCTCGTGTATATTATATATTAAACATGTATGTGCATATTACGATTACCCTTTCTTTTGGTTGCTTTCACATTTGCAATTTGTTGTTCTAAGGTACCACAGTGAAAATGAATACGTTGTAACTGATGAATCTAAAAATATTTTTAAGTGGATATATATATATTAATAACATAAATTTTTTATATAGATTTTGTATAAATAAAATTTCAGGATGAACGCACCGTCTATAAAATAAGTCACTAATAGAAGAAAATTCAGATTTCAGAGTAGTTAATTTTTTTAAGATGTACATCTAGGGATGACAAACGGGCGGGTCGGGTGCGGATACCCCCTCCCTCATCCCCATATCCACGTAATATTTTTAAATTCACTACCCGCCCACCAACCACGATGGATAAATTTTTTTAAATATACACTTGCCTACGCGGATACATTATTAAATTTATCCCTACACCCACTACCCAACTCGTCTACGCGGGTGCATTCTCAAATTCATCCCTACACACACTACCCAACTGAAGACGTACCCGGCTAGACTCGCCTGACAACAACCTTAAGTTATACATAAGCAACAAACATAAAATAAACACGTCCATTAAGAAACATAATAAAATAAACCAAAGATTATCTGAGTTAAATGTTAACATAAATCTTAAAGTACATAAAACACCACAATTAAATACTATAAACATAAATGACAAACACATAATATTTTCTTTTGGCGTAATAAATGACAAACCCTAAAATTATAATAGTTCAAAATTTAATAAGTATTTAGTGGACGTGAGGATGTGGGGTAGACGGATGCGGGGCAGGTGGAGGCATGGTGGGTAAGGTCTCAAATTCATCACCCGCCCACTACCCGCGACGGGTACTACATTTTAAATCCACACGTACCACTACCCACTAAAATTATACTCATTACCGCTCTAATTAGAGCGAGTATCGTGTAAAATCTACAAAATTATATCTATTTATCATCTCTATGTATATCATTAATAAAATAAAAAATTAATAAAAAAATTAAATTTTAAGATAAACACATGTATACTCGTATTAAGCTGTTTCCGTTCTATGTACGTTGTTGGCCATCATTTTAAAAGTGGAAAAACCAAGAGTAGCTGTGCAACAGCTACACACTAGCGAGCATTTACCATAGCAATTAGCTAGTCCATTAATACATCCATCCACATGCCACCCACTTGTAAAGAATAAAGACCCAAAATAAATGACATTTTCAGGTTTAAAAAATCTTAAAATATATTTAATCGCCTTAAGGCAACCATCTACCCACCTTCATTGATTAATGAGCAACGTTTACGTTTGGTAGAAGCGTTAATTTTTTCCTCATATTTTAGTATATAAATTAATAATTAACTTCAATTGATTTTTTAATTATTTAAATGATTTAATTTGAAAGAGGATGAAAATCTTATTTTGCGATGTTTTATTGATATTTCTAAAATCATTTCATATTAATTTTTAGGATATGAAAAAATTATTTTAATTAATATAATAGTTAATTTGTTTTCTTATATTAATAATAATGTAAAAATCTTACCTAAATTTAAAAAAGTTGTGATAATGCACTAATTACACTTTATTTCATATATGTACTAAAATATTATTTCTTAGATCAGATCAACCCTTGACATAGTGGCGGATGCATTAAGTTCTTATAGGGATCAAGTGCATTTCCATTATTTTGAAAATGTTATTAAATGTAACTTAACGTGTTAAAACAAAAATTATAATTTTTACATACAAATTATTTATTAAAAAAATTAAAAATTTGGACCTATTATTAAAATTTTGTAATATTAAATATATATATATAATGATTGATTTGAAATTTTTGGAAGACGTGCAAGGGCATTAAATATCAAATGATATTAATTATCAGTTGCTCGACACAAAATAAGGAATTGATTATAATATCATAAATGGTCCCCAAAAATATATTGATAATAAATTTTCATAATATATAACTTGTATTAATCAATTAATGAATTTAATATAATTTTAAAAATGACGAGCGATTAAAACGAAACTAAAACTTAACGTTAAATATGATTTAAAAAATAATAAAAATTAAATGATCAAAATAAAATTAAAATAATAATTGAATGATTAAATACATAATTTAACTTAATTTATATATTTGAGTTATTGCATTCCAATCGTAAAATTATCCCACGTCCAATATTACTTATATAAAATAAAAATTATGTGGTATGTGATTAAGAAGTTTAAAGAAAGATGTATAATCAAATATAAATGATATTGGAATAAAAGAAAAAAATTAAAAGAGTATAATAATTATAACATTTTATAAAATATTAAACTTTGTCAATTTATTCGATCAATATTAGTTAATTATATTTGTCGAATAAATCGGCACAATGTTATGCCAAATAATAAGATCTTTTATGCCATTTTCATGACACACGTATTCCATACTTGAGGACCTCTAGTAGAAATATGAGTAGCATAATATTTAGACTGTGATGAATGAAACCAGACTAAGCCTTCGTGACAATTTTTTCCCAATTCATGAATAATCTCATCGCAACATTGCTTAGAAATATCGTAATCCAATAAGATCGCATTCACAAAACTTTCCCCACATACGGAACTAAGCTTTTTCGTGCATTCTTCTATGATTTTATAGAAACCTGATTCTGGCTTTCGAGGGGTTGTAAACTCTAATCCCGCTGCCATCACAACAAGAGTTACGATCATCAAAGGGAGAAAAATAATTAGAATGGATGAGTTGTTGAGTTTAGCCATGTTGTTTTGGGGTTTATTTGTCGATTTGATACTAAAAGATAT